TATGCTTGGGGCAAGAGGTTTTTAAGCATCTGAATTTCTTCTGACCTGAAACTCCATTCCTAGACAAAAGAACAAAAAAGGGCTCTGCTCCACAGGAGAGGCTGTCCTTCTAGTAGCCTTGCCAGGGGCGAGCTCTGACCCCAGGCACTGTTGTCTAGGTCATAAATTCTTTAGAGCAGTAGCACGCATGAAATCATCTGGATGCCTTGGGATCAGTTACGCGGTATGCCACCTAAGGGCTTTCTTTTCTTCTGGAGATTACAACGACATTTACTTCCGGGGACGGGGGGCAGATTTGATGTAGAATGATGTTGAATTCATTAATTCATTCAGTCACTGACTTGATCCTTTGGCATATATTTATATCACAGGCGTTCCAAGGGCTGGGGGTCAGAACTTGAGAAGGCCTGTCCTCCTGGAGTTTAGGTTCACATTGAAGGACACAGAAGATAAAGTAGTAAACAGATTAATCGGGTGGGGATGAATAGTGCTATGAAGTGATTAAAGCAGAATGATGAGAGACACACCTGGAAGGTGGAGAGAGCTGTGGGAGGCTGGATAGCGGGGGGTGGGGGTGGGGGTTCGGGTTCAGAGGAGAGCTTCACCGGGGTGGGGACACAGCAGTGGAGACTGGGGTGGTACAGAGGGGCCAGTCTTGCGAGAGATCTGGGGGAAGAGGCGTCCTGGCAGAAAGAATAGCCACTGCGGAGGTGCCGAGGCAGTAATGAGTTAGGGGTGTGGAGGAACAGTAGAGTAGCCCTGGTGGCGTGTCGTGGAAGGTGGTAGAAGGGCCGGCAGGGGCGGGAGCCTGGTGGAGGGTTCGACTTGTATTCTGAGTGTTCTCACTGACATTGCCTCTGGCTGCCTTGGAAGCTAGGTGGAGGGGTGATTTTGGGACAAGGAGGGAGGCAGCCGTTATCGGAGGGTGGGGAGGGGTGTGGTACCCGACCCGAGTGCTGGTGTTGGTGCTTGAGACAACTTGCTAAGGGATTGGTCAGTGGGTGGTGAGTGGGGTGAGGGATTTGGGGCTTTGGTCTGCGGGTTCGGATGGATGGTAGTAATGACCGTCCCTGGCCCCCTTTAACATGGACTGAGGTGTCCTACTACTCACACACATCTCATTTAACCCTCTTTATGGTAGACTCTTACTCCCCATTTTGCAGATGAGGAAACTGAGGCCCAGGGAAACGAAGCCCTTGATCCTTGTCACTTGGCCAGTTGGGGCTGGGTTGGAACCTGGATAGCCCAACCCGCAGTCTGACCTTGCTCCCCTTCCTCTCACTCCAGACACAGCTGTTAATTCGTGATGTTGACACAGCCCATGCCCAGGAGGAGCTGATGTCAGTATCCTACAATTATGAAATCAGGAAGGGCTCAAGTCCACATAGGTGGTCCTTCCACCGTCCCCACTAACCGAGATCCTGATGTGCCTTTTATTACAGTATTTATTACAGGGCAGCAAACGGACTTTCTGGGTGCTGACACGGACGTAACTTGACGCGTGGGCCAGATAAGGTGTATGTAGGCCCCCAGACTTTGAGCTCGTGAGCCTGCTTAACTGATTGGGCCGGAAGTCTCCTTGCCCATCAAACCCTTCTTATCTCCTCCTCCAGGAATCCACGTGTAAAGGGAGCTCACTCCCTATGGGGGTGTGACCCATGTGATGCCTCAGCCAGCCGCGTGGCTTTACTTGGTGTCCTCTGGGAGAGCGGTATGCCCCCCACCCTCTGTCTACATGTGGGGTGGGTGAAAGGTGGTGCTGAGTTTGGTCCTGCTTGGTGCTCAGCATCACTGAGAGATGCTGATCCTCTCCTGCTCCTTCTTGCATTTAGGTCACGTGGCAGAAATTTCAGATTGATCAATTTTTTTTTATTGATTTAAAACTTACGGAAGCCACATGCTGATTATAAACGTTTCAAGCAGTAGAGCAGTATGTAAAGCAAGCATAGCAGTTCCTTGTTCCCCTGGTGACCCTGGCACCTGCCCCACCCCCACCCCCCACCCCCGTCTCTCTAACCTGCATGGAGTGACATTAAGTGTGCCCTTCTTGTTCTGTGTGCAGTAGATTGTGTTCAAGAGCCTGGGCTCTGGGGCCACAGTACTTGGGTTCAAACCCCAGTTTTGTTATGTACTAACTTGGGCCCTAATCATTCTGTGCCTCATTTTCCCCATCCCTGAAATGGTGCTGATGACCTTAACCTCTTGGCCTGTAAGGATTCATCACGTTGATATATGTAAAAGTTAGAGTGGCGCCTGGTGTGTGATGAGCACTCGCATGTTAGCTATTTCTGTTACATACATGTATGCCCATAGTTGTTTGTTTTACAAACATACTCTCCAGGTACGTTGTTCTTCCGACTACACTTTACCTTAAGGATCTGCCTACCGTGGCCGTAGGCCGTGGGTCAAGGTCAAGGTCAGCCACATTTTTTTTTTTAAGATTTTATTTATTTGAGAGAGAACATGAGAAGAGGGGGAGAGGGAGAAGCAGACTCCCTGCTGAGCAAGGAGCCAGATGTGGGCTCCATCCCAGGACCCCGAGATCATGACCTGAGTTGAAGGCAGACGCTCAACCAACTGAGCCATCCAGGCGCCCCGGCCACATTCTTTTTAATGACTTCTTGGTGTTGCATTTCGGCAGTGCCTTGTCATTGGACATCCTGTTCATTTCCACCTTTCCTTATGATGACTCTGAGCACACAAAAACCTTTGTCTGCTTCTTAGATTTTTCTTAGGACAAAGTCCTGGGGTTGCAATGACTGAAACAAAGTGTATAAAAACGTTTAAAGGCTTGTGCTATTCCTCATTGACTTGCCTGTTTCTGGGCCATCTGCATTTCCTCGTTTGTTGCCTGTTTTTGTAGGGGATCTTTATATTACTAAAGGTAGAAATCATGAGTTATGGGATGTAGATTTACATCCATAGTGAGTTGTTTACCTTCTAATTTTGTTATGTTATTAGATATACTGAGGTTTTTTGTTGATGTTGTTGTTTGCTTTTGTGCTTTGGCCTTTAATTTAAGATGAGATAAACACTATTTTCTTCTTAGTTACTTCATAGCTTCATGCTTCATTTTTTTTTTAAAGATTTTATTTTTAAGTAATCTCTGCACCCAATGTGGGGCTCGAACTCCCAACCCCGAGATCAAGAGTCGCATGAGAGCTTCATTGTTTATATCCAACACCTGGATTTTTTTTTTTTCCTGGTGTTAGTTGTGGGGTACAGATCTTAAACCTGCCCCTGCCAATAGTTAACTAGTTGTCTCTCATAGTATTGACTGAAAAATCCATCCTTTCCCACTGCCTTGAAAAGCTCAGTATGAGCCTGGCCCCAGTCTACACGTTGGAGTGGTCACCTTTCAGTCCCTGGTCATAACTCGGTGACGCAGGTTGGCGACATCCCCACCCACAGTGAGGAGCCTGGAGCACAAACCTCGCTTAACGTCTCACCACTTGGATGAGGCAGAATCTGGTTTGGAATAGGGTAGACTTAGTAACCAGCGTCCTTATTGCTAATGTATTTCCAGCAGTTTTTTTTTGCAGTTCCTCAGCAAACCTTCCTTTTATCCACCGGTCATAGTCACTGTGATTGCCCCTGGGCTGTAGTGGCCTATTAGGCCTATTCCCTGCCTCACTGCCCTGGCCAGAACTTTGTGACAGTGTTCAGTGCCAGTGGAGGTCGCAGGCAGGTGGGACGTTTTACCCTGCAGGGCCCCCCTTGATGGGGGCCTGGTTAGGCAGGACCCAGAATTTTTCTGGGTACTCTTTAAGAAGAAGTCCATGGTGGCCACCATGTGGCAACGTCAGTGAAGGACTCCTCTGTCCCCATGGCTGGGCCAAACCAGGGAAAAAGTTGGCATCAGTGGTGACAAAGCTTGAGTACAAGCAGCAGTGGGCAACATTCTGGAACCTTGAGTAATAGGGAAAAAAAGAAAAAAGTCTCTCAGCAGGGTTGTGGGGAACTCAGCAGGAAGCTAGCCTAGCAGACGCAGACGTGGAGAGCAGAGCCTCAGAGTCGGCAGCTGGATCCGTGGAACTGCTTGCCCACCCGGATGGCATGAGGCCTGACATCCGACTGCCATCTTCACTGCTCAGCTTTGCCTTGTCTTGGCTGGGTGTCCTTGGGCGAGTAACTTAACCTTTCTGTGCCTTAGCTTCTGTATAATGGAATAATAATAGTTCCTACCTTCGGTTTTTGTCTACCTTCGGTTTTTGTGAGGATCAAATGATCCATGCAAAGTGCTTAAAATAACTGTGGCTGGCACATAGTAAACACTCAAATAAATGTGAGTCATTGTTTCTTTCTCTGACCCCCCTCTTTCCGTGTTTCGGAGGGCGGGGATAAAGATCCCAGGAGATGTACTAAAGTGTGTGGGGGCAGATATCATCACTTAGGTATTTCCTGAACACCTACGACATGGCACCCAAGTGCTAGGGCCACAGCAGGGCCCAGGATAGACACAGTCCCTAACACTTTTGACGCTGACTTTCTGGAGGGGAACTGGAGCCTAAACAAACAGGTAAATAATGTAATGTTAGTGAGATGTGCTGTGAAGAAAACAGACTGGGGGAAAGACTGGAGAGTGGCAGAAGCTACTGTTTTAGCAGAGGTGATCAGGGCAGACCCCTGAAGAGGTGACTCTGATCAAGACCTAAATATAAGAAGCCAGCCATGAACACATTTGAGAAAGAGCATTCCAGACAGCATAGCAAATGCAAAGGCCCTGTGGCAGGAGCTGGCAGAGCAGTTCTAAGAGTACAAGGAGGCCATGGTGGCCACAGGGCTACGAGGGAAGGGAAGGTGAGAATGACAGAAGCTGAGGGCAGAGAGGAAGCCAGGTAGGAAGTTCTTAGCCTAGGTTCTCCGGGTTGAAAATAATAGAAGCCCATGTGTGATCCATCCAAACCTAAAAGAATTCTGAGATGCCTCCTGGAGCTTGGGACAGACATTGTCTGCCGTGTCATGATCCACAGGCTCAGGGCCCCAAGACAGGGGTCTGATTGGCCCAGCTTTGGTCAGTTGGCTACTTCTCATCCAGTGAGCTCTGGCGAGGAAGTAAGCATGACACACATACTTCTTATAAAATGAGGACTTTCTTTGGCCTCCTGGCCTAGGGCATCATTCCTCTTCTTCCATATGTAGCATCAACATGTTGTGGTTAAGAATAGGGGTCAAATGGCCTGGATTCAAAGGTCAGCTGCTTGCTAGCTGTGTGACCCTGGGTTAATCACTTCACCTCTCTGGGCCTCAGTTTCATCACCTGTAAAATGTGGATGATAAAGGTTTCTACCTCAAGGGGCCATTCAGAGCATTAAATAAGTTTACATAAAGAATTTAGTTTGAGCCTGATGCATAATAGGCGCTCAGGAAGTACTATTTATCATCATCCTCATCTTTCCTCCTGCATAAGTGCTCTGTAGTTCAAGCTAGGGCTTGGGAATAGAGTCTGGAATTGACCCCAGATTCACCACCAGCTAGCTCCGTGATCTTGGCCAAGTGAGTAACTTCTTTCTGCAGAGTAGAAAGAATAAGCCACAAGGACTCATTCATTGGATGTATGTGTGTTGTCTAAGGTTTGGGGTTATCATGGAAATTCAGGGGATCCTGATGTAGGAAAGACATCAGGGTTCGAAGCCGATGGCCAAGAAAGAATTCTTGAGATGCCTTTGGTGTAAATGTGGTTTTATAAAAGCATGGGGACAGGGCCTGTTGGCAGACAGAGCCGCTGCCCTGTGGTCTTCAGGAGTGGCCCATTATATCCTTTGAAGTTGGGAGGGGGTTAGGGAGAGTGTAAGCCTCCCAGGTATTTTGGAAACAAGGTTTCCAGGATCCTGCGGGGGGGGGGGGGGGGGGGGGGGTATTGTTAGGAAAGGTCATTTATTACTGTTTAAATAAAAACTCAGTCGTGAAACCCTTCAGATGTATATCGGTGGGTCATATACTTGGGGGATGACTGCCAACATGTATCGTGGGGGGTAGAGATAAAGGAAGTTTCCAAAGGAATTTTTATATGTTATAGTAGACGTACAGGATCCTGGGGGTCAGCCTTTTGCCCTTAGCCAAGTGTCAGCATCGAGGCAGCTGAGTCCCTAGAGGAAGGTCCCTCTGCCTGTTTCAAGGACATGTCAGTGGGCTGTAGGGAGTAAGGAAATTTAATAATTTCTCTTCTGCCTTTGTTTCCCACATCAATCCCAGGTGTCTGGGCCCAGTGCAGCCCTGGCTCCTGATCTCAGCCCCTGAGTGTGACCTGAGGGAGAGGATAACATTGGGACCTGCCTCACCTCCTTCACAACAGCTTGTGCGGGGCCCTCCTCCACGTGGCCGAGCACTGCACTGCTCCCTCTAGGCACATCTGCCACCTCCTAGGCTGTGAGCTCTGTAAGAGCAGGACCCAGGCCTGACGCCCCAGGCCCTTGGCCCGGTGCTGCACGGAAGTGCAGGAACACACCTTCGTCAGGTTTCTCCTCTTGCGAAAGATCTCAAAAACAGCTTTCTCAAGAAATGTTGTGTTTGTATCTGATCACACCCATTCCCTGGACAGTGTGACTCTGAACCCGGGCTGGGAATTGGCACCAGCTAAGAGTCTTACGAATAGTTGGGATTCTCTGGCTTTGTTCCTGGGGCGTCTATTTGGGCAGGTGTAGTGGATATTGGCTGCTGGTTTGGCCTAACAACCACTATGGTTCTTCTGTGGTTTTCCTTTTGAGGATTGCTCCTTTGCCATCCAGTTCATTCATTCACTGAGCCCAACTGTGTGTGTGACACTGCTTTCTCCAGGCCTGGGGGCGGAGGGGCAGCGAATTGGTTGGAAGCCCCGCCCTGGAAAATGGAAGGAGGTAACTATCTCATAAGTTGTAAATTATAAGTTATACAGTAGATAACTGTACGTTAGCTGGCAGGATTATCGCACTGGTACTTTCTGATTTCAATAATTACACTGTAATTGAGAGAATATCTTAGCAGACACCCACTGACTTCTATAGGGATTCAAAGCAAGAACAAATTCATGGAAAAAGGGAGGCAAACCAGTATTGGCTGAACAGTCATAAAAATGCCTAAAATCCTTACTTACCTTTTTTCAGTTTGGGGGTATTGTCATAAAGACTCAGCCATAATGAAATGCTCTGCCATACACAATAGGTTTCTAGTCAACAAATCAGTGCTTATATACACAATTTTGAGTTTACAGATTCTAAAAACTTCAGTAGGTAGGGTGCTGTAGATTATTTTCATTTTTTTCTTTGTATGTGTATGTATTTTGCATATTTTTTTGGAAAGAACTTTTAGAAACTGGAGCAAAAAAGCCCAGCTTTTAAAAAGCCTCTCCACCCCCCACCCCTTGTGGAGCATTCTGGTCCACGTGGTTTGGATGTGGAACGGGCGCAGTCGTGGGCCTCTCAGATGGTTCTGCTCCTCTCTGCCCCAGTGATTGGCTCAGGAAAGGGCTCATGAGTCACGTCAGTCTGTTCACAATTTATACACATCTCTTGCTCGAGCTGCCAGGAAGGAGGTATTTTCTTTCTACTGGGGTGCTAAGTTGTGGGGCATAAGCCTAATGCTACGGGGGGGCCACGTTTGCCCAAAGGGTGAGATAGAAACGACATTGGAAATGATTGGTTCTTCATAAATTCTTTGGGTAACTGGAAATCAGAATAACCCCTGAACCTTTCAGTAACATGAGCCAAAAAATTGCTTTTTCTTTTTTTTCTTGAGCCAGTTTGAGTTGGGCTCTGCCACTTGAAGCCAAGAGTCCTATAAGTGATACAGTAATTCCCGTGGGCTCTAGAATCTGTATTTTAAAATTCTTCATAAAGAGATGTCTTGGTGGCTCAGTCAGTTAAGCATCTGCCTTCAGCTCAGGTCGTGATCCCAGAGTCCTGGGATCGAGCCCCACATCAGGATTCCTGCTAAGTGGGGAGTCTGCTTCTCCCTCTGCCCCTCTCCCCCGCTTATGCAACTGTTCTCTTTCTCTCTCTGTGTCAAATAAATAAATTTTAAAAATCTTAAAAAAAAAAACCCTCCATAAATAGTTTGTATGAATCAGCTGTTTGAGAACCACTTTGCTAGACTTTTCTGAGTGGTGTTCCTCAGACTTCAGCGAGCAACAGTCTTGGTCTGGGGAACTTGTTAAAAATATAAAGGCTCTGTTCGACACTGCTGGTGATTCTGATCTGGGGCCTGGGTATATCTGAATTTTGAGCAACATCCTGGGTGATTGGACATACATCAAGTTTGAGAAGCACTCTGATAACAGTACAGGGATCATGCCCAACATAGGGCCTTACCCACAGAGGAGGCCCGGAGTCTTTCTCAAATGAGTGAAAGTAGTATGAATCTAGGTCTTCTCTGGAAAGTCATTCCTTTCCTGCCTGTTACCCAGCCTTGCACATCACATCATGTTTAGGGGAAATTTGGTTAAATATGTGAGCTTTATTAGCATAATAGTTTTACCAGTGTGTAACCCCTCAGGTAACTTTGGCAAGAGCTGGATATAATGCATGCTGAAATGTTGCTTCAGATCGAGAATGAAGTCATCTCTTAAAGAAGTTTTTGGTAATAGTGGAAACTATTGGTAATTACTCACTAACTTAGTCCCAAGTGATTTTTGGAGAATACTTCCCGCCTCTGTGTGTGTGTGTGTGTGTGGTGTGTGTACACAAATGTGTACCCATACTTACGTGGAGGTGAAGGAAGGGCCACAGCTTTTTTACTTGGGTGAAAGGGAATCTTTTGAGTTGACCCATTGGGCCAGAAAATCCCTTTTCAAATACTGTCTTGTAGCAGCTTTGCTTTTGAGGCCCCTGAGCTGAGAGGAAGGGGGTGTGGAGCCTGCCTGCCTGCCCCATTTGGCTCTCACCCCAGGCACGTGTGACTTTGCCATTGTTTGAAGTCTTTTTCCCCCCAGGATTTGTACCCCATGCTTAGTTCCTGTAGCTCAGCCACCAGGAATTAGGGCGTGGGCTGGCTGGGATCATTTAAATTTAAACTGATCATCTTCAAATATTTTTGTTTGTGTTCCCTCAAAAGAATTTTGATAAACCATGCTGCCTTGTGCATTATAAAGCTAACGTCTAAAATAATTTTATGGTAACTTGAAAATGTTGTTTGTGGGAGAAAGAAAATAGTACATATTTTGTAAGACGAGATAAGGTGGAAATTAACTGTAGTTGAAATAAATATTATACAATATGGCTAGATAAAGTAGGTTTTTCACCACTGTATTGTGTAAAGCCCACAGAACCTAAAAGAAATCACATACATTTTCCCCTGGGAATTTTTTCTAGGGAACTCAGAATTTTGATGGTCCTGCAAAACATTTCATTAAACAAATCAGGGCCACTAACCTATACAGCTTTGAGTGTTCAGAATTTAGGGGATCCCAGCATGGGCCAGAATATCCTGTTTTTAAAGTCAAGATTCATATTTAACAGAAAGATGTGTAAGTCAGGGAAGGACAGACAAGCCTGGGGGCTTAAGGAGCTTTATTACTCATTAAAGACAACTTCCTTCAAACCAGTATTTTGATGTTTTGTGTTGTTTGGAGTCCTAGAAGCTTACACACCCCTGGGCAGTGCTCCTTGGGATGAGGCAAGCAGCTGTACAGTAGGGGATGGACAACTAAGAAGGCAGGCTGGTTTGCAGTCAGATCAAGTTTGGGAAGGGGAACTTGGGGCCATTGACGATCTGAACATTGCTTCCCTTAAAAACATTTGTGCCCTTGGAGCCATTAAAGGTCTCCATAGGGGCACCTAGGTGGCTCAGTAGGTTAATCGTCCAACTCTTGATTTCGGCTCAGGTCATGATCTCAGAGTTGTAAGATCGAGCCACATGTCAGTCAGGCTCCCCACTCAGCAAGGAGTCTTGAGCTTCTCTCTCTCCCTCTGCCTCTTCCCCTCCCCTGCTCGTGCACATGCGCACTCTCTTAAATAAATAAATAGATAAGATAAAATAAAATAAAATTTTAAAAAAGTCTCCACAAACCCTTGGGGATAAGCACACTCAAGCCTGAAGACCGTCAGCTTAAAAAATCTGGGTGCTGCTTATCTCATAGAGGAGGAAGTCCAAAGGTTATAGAGATAGTTGATTGGTTCACCACTACTACTACCATTACAGACCCAGTTTATCTCATTTCCTGGTTCTGGAGACTTCTTGTGTACAACCTGAGCCTGATCCCAGGAGCACTCCGGCAGTGTTGGGCATCCTGGCCAGACAAGATAGAGTAGGAAGCCGGGCACCTGTCTCCAGAAACTGACTTAGGCCAGCCTATCTCCTAGAGATAAGTAACAAACTAATATGTTAAGATGGAAAGTGCTCAAAAAAAAAACAACAACACTTCCTGAACACTGAACAATTAACATGATGGCTAAAAAACAGCTTGCACAGCCTTCACACCTCCATTGCCCTCTGGTCAACAGTATCTTGAGCTTGCATCGCCTCTGTTGACCTCAGTCAACATTTTCATGCCCACACCTGGTTCCGACCTTCTACTGATTGTATTTAAAATGTAATCTTGAGACTTCCTGCTTATCATTTTGTAAAAAAATGTTACATTGAGTTTTGAGAGCATACAGTTTTGCCATATAAAAATTAGATGAAAACGCATGAAGAATTATATACATTCCCCGAAGTTTGAATTGAAAACCCAAAAGATATTTTACTGGGAAAAGAAGGTTATCCTGGAAGACATTCTTTGCAGTGGCCCCTGGCCCATCATAAGCCCGCAGTACATGTTGGTGTTGAGTGAATTACGAGGAAGTACAGGGTAGTGATTGAATTGACAACTTTTTTATTTTATTTTATTTATTTATTTGACAGAGAGAGACACAGTGAGAGAGGGAACACAAGCAGGGGGAGTGGGAGAGGGAGAAGCAGGCTTCCCACCGAGCAGGGAGCCCGACACGGGGCTCGATCCCAGGCCCCCGGGATCATGACCTGAGCTGAAGGCAGATGCTTAACGACTGAGCCACCCAGGCTCCCCTGAATTGACAACTTTTTAAGAGCCCTGGAACCAGACCTAAATTCTAATCCTACCTCTGCCACCCTTCAACTGTGTGTCCTTGACCAAATCATTTAACTTGTCTGAGCCTCAGTTAATCTAGTTAAAAGAGGATTAACTCAAAGGGTACTGAATCAATAAAGATAGCTTAGGTTCTGCTGCTGTAACAAATAACCCTAATATCTCCATGGCTTAAAAAAGATGTTAAGTCTCATTAATACTACATGTTCTTCATGGTTTGGTGGTTGTCTCCACTCTATTATCATCTTCATTCGGGGACCCAGGTTCCACCATTTGGAACAGGTTCGTTTATGCAGTAAGGGGAAGATAGGGGCTTGATCATCAGCTCTCAAATGATTCCCACATGGAACTGACCCCCATTGCTTCTGCTCATGTTTCATTGGCTAAAGCACATCTTATGGCCATAGCCAACTTCAGGGTCGTGAGGAAGTGCAGTTCTACTCTGTGCCTGAAAAGTGAATCAGAAATAATAGTAAGGGGGCGCCTGGGTGGCTCAGTCGTGAAGCATCTGCCTTCGGCTCAGGTCATGATCTTGGGGTCCTGGGATCGAGCCCCGCATCGGGCTCCCTGCTCCACAGGGAGCCTGCTTCTTCCTCTCCCACTCCCCCTGCTTGTGTTCCCTCTCTCGCTGTGTTTCTCTGTCAAATAAATAAAATCTTAAAGAAAAAAAAAATACTAAGAATACTATCATCTACCACAATTGCCCTGAAGTTTAAATAAGGTAAATTGTATGAAGCAGTCATCATTAAGTCACAGTAAAAGTAGGAAATGGAAGTGCTAGTTTGTCATGGTTGACAATGATGATAGGAGAATAAGTGGTTACTACTTTCATCCTGCAAATTGCACTGGGGGCTGGTGGATAGCTTGGTGACTAAGGCGCTGGCCTAGGTTCCAGTCTCATTTCCCTTACTTGCTAAACTCTGTTAATAAGAGTGGTTATAGTAGTGAACTCCTGGGGATGTGGTGATTTGATGTTCATGCATGGAAGGGATCAGTCCAGAGCCTGAGCTGTACACAATCAAAAGTGAGTTGTTACTCAAAAATAATAAAATAGCTGGGAGTAAGCTTCACCAAGGAAGTGAAAGACTTGTACTCTGAAAACTATAAAACATTGATGAAAGAAACTGAAGATGACACAAACAAATGGAAAGATATTCCATGCTCATGGATTGGGAGAACAGATATTTAAAATGTCCATGCTAGGGCGCCTGGGTGGCTCAGTTGGTTAAGCGACTGCCTTCGGCTCAGGTCATGATCCTGGAGTCCCGGGATCGAGTCCCACATCGGGCTTCCTGCTCAGCAGGGAATCTGCTTCTCCTTCTGACCCTCTTCCCTCTCCTGCTCTCTGGCTCTCATTCTCTCTCTCTCTCAAATAAATAAATAAAATCTTTAAAAAAAAAAAAAATGTCCATGCTACCCAAAGCAATCAACAGAGTTCATGAAATCCATGTCAAAATACCAATAGCAAAAAATAAAAAATATATCAATAGCATTTTTCACGGAACTAGAACAAATAATCCTAAAATTTGTGTGGAACCACAAAAGACCCAGAATAGCCAAAGCAATCCTGAAAAAGAAGAACAAAGCTAGAGGCATCACAGTTCCAGACTTCAAGTTATATTACAAAGCTGTAGTAATCAAAACAGTAAGGTACTGGCACAAAAAGAGACACATAGATCAATGGAACAGGGTAGAGAGCCCAGAAATAAACCCACAGTTATATGACCAATTAATCTTTGACAAAGGAAGCAAGAATATACAATGAAAAAAGACAGTCTCTTCAACAAATGGTGTTGGGAAAACTGGACAGCTACATACAAAAGAAAGAAGTTGGACTGCTTTCTTACACCACACACAAAAATAAACTCAAAATGGATTAAAGACTTTAAATGTGAAACTTGAAACCATAAACATTCTAGAAGGGAGCACAAACTAATTTCTCTGACATTGGCCATAACAACATTTTTCTAGATATTTCTCCTAAGACAAGAGAAACAAAAGCAAAAATAAGCTGTTGGGACTATATCAAAATAAAAAGCTTCAGCACAGCAAAGGAAACAGTCAGTGAAATGACAGCCTACTGAATGGGAGAAGATACTTGCAAAGGACATAGCCAATAAAGGGTTAGTACCCAGAATACATAAAGAATTTCTACAACTTGACACCAAAAAAACAAATAGTCCAATTACAAAATGGGTAGGAGACATGAACAAACATTTCTCCACAGACATACAAATGGCCAACAGATGCATGAAAAGATTTTCAACATCACTCTTCAGGGAAATGCGAATCAAAACCACAATGAGATATCACCTCACACCTGTCAACAATACAAAGAACAGGTGTTGGCAAGGATGTGGAGAAAAAGGAACCCTTGTGCACTGTTGGTAGAAAGCAAACTGGTGCAGCCACTGTGGAAGGCAGTATGGAGATTTCCTCAAAAAATTAAAAATAGAATTATCATAGGATCCAGTAATTCCACTACTGGATATTTACCCGAAGAATATAAACACTTAATTCGAAAAGGTATATGCACCCCTACGTTTATTGCTGAATTATTTACAGTAGTCAAATTATGGAAGATGTGGTACACACACACGCACACTGGAATATTAGCCATAAAAAAGAATGAAATCTTACCATTTGCAGCAACTCGTTGCTGCAAATGTTTGTTCATGTCTCCTACCCATTTTGTAATTGGGCTATTTGTTTTTTTGGTGTCAGGTTGTAGAAATTCTTTATGTATTCTGGGTACTAACCCTTTATTGGCTATGTCCTTTGCAAATATCTTCTCCCATTCAGTAGGCTGTCAATTCCTTTGCTGTGCTGAAGCTTTTTATTTTGATATAGTCCCAATAGCTTATTTTTGCTTTTGTCTCTCTTGTCTTAGGAGAAATATCTAGAAAATTTCTAGAAATTATACTACTAAGTGAAATAAGTTAGAGAAAGACAAATACCATATGCTTTCACTTATGTGGAATTTAAGAAATAAAAGAAACAAAGAAGGACAAACAAAAAAACCTAGACTCTTAACTGTAGAGAACAAATTGATGGTTGCCAGAGGGGAAAATGGTGGGGGGGGCGTGAAATAAGTAAATGGGATTAGAGCACACTTATCATGATGAGCACTGAGTAATGCATCTTGCTGAATCATTGTATTGTACACCTGAAACTAATATAACAATGTTAATTATACTGGAATTTAAATTAATAAAAATACTTTTGTCTAGGGGAAAAAAAACAGTGGGTTATTGCTATTGCCACCAATATTGCTTCATTAGGTGGCCCTGAAATATCCTACATCAAGTAAATTTAAAATTACTTATCATTTCTCTCTTCTTTCCCTCCACACTCCATTTACTCCGCACACATACCCTACAGATTTTGATGTGTTATTTCTCATGAGTCCTTCATTTCTAAATGATTTGCAATTTTTTTTAACTTTTTTTTTTTATTAGAGGTGGGGAGAGGAGCAGAGGGAGAGGGAGACTGAGAATCTCAAGGAGGCTCCACACCCAGCATGGAGCCCAGCTCAGGGCTCCATCCTACCACCCTGAGATCTTGACCTGAGCCAAATAAGAGTCGGGCTCTTAACCGACTGAGCCACCCAGGTGCCCCAACTTTTTTTTTTTTTTTAATGTAAGCTCTACACCCAGTGTGGGGCTTGAACTCACAACCCCAAGATCAAGAGTTGTATGTTTTACTAACCAAACCAGACAGGTGCCCCTAGATGATTTGCAATTTTTAAACATCTTTCTTGAGGTAGGACTTTTTGCATCTGGCTTCTGTCACTTCGCGTAATGTTTTTGAGATTTTCCATGTTGCAGCATGTATCAGTATTTCATTCCTTTTTATTTCTGAGTAATACATACCTATTGTACAGGTATGTCACACTTTGTTTATCCCTTCACCAGTTGATGGATATTTGGATTGTGTCCAGTGCTGGGCTATTATGAGTAATACGGTTATGAACATTTAGGTACAAGTGGTTGTGTGGATATTTCCACCTAGGAATAGAATTGCTGGGTCATTTGGTAACTCTGCTGTTTAACTTTTATTTAAAAGACTGCCAAATTGTTTTCTAAAGTAACCACACTAGCAATGTATTGAAGATTCCAGTTTTTCCGTATTTTCACCAACATGTGTACTTTTTTTGTTAAGATTTTATTTATTTATTTATTTATTTATTTGACGGAGAGAGAGCGAGCACAAGAAGGGGGAGTGGGAGAGGGAGAAGCAGGCTTCCCGGGAGCCCAGTGTGGGACTCTATCCCAGGACCCTGGGATCATGACCTGAGCCGAAGGCAGATGCTTAACTGACTGAGCCACCCAGGCGCCCCTCACCATGTTCTTATAGCCATCCTGGTGGATGTACAGTCATGTCTTACTGTGGTTTTGATTAACATTTCCCTGAGGGCTAATGATGTTGATGATCATCCATTTTTGTGCTTATTGGCCATATGTATGTCTTCTTTGATGAAACGTCTCTTTGAATCTTTTGTTCATTTCTTATTGAGTTGTAAGAAGTCTTTTTATGTTCTAGATAAGTCATTCATAAAATATGTCATTTGCAAATATTTCTCCTAGTCTGACTTTCATTTTCTTTCTTTTTTATCTGGCTGCTTGGAGTTTATTTTCCACCTGGTGCAAGGCACACATTACAGGTTGTCAGGAAGGCTCACGTGTGGCTTGGATAGTAAAGAGTGGGGTTCTCTTCCTTTTTGGTGTTCTGCTTTGATATAAAAGAACCCAACTGCTTCTGTTTGCTGCGGCCTGTCTAGTCTAACTGGGTGGGGCAGGGAGGGGCCCTGACGAACCTAGTGCCTCCTGAAGTCTGGTGGCTGGTGGTGGCCACTCAGGACTGGTGGCTGGTGTTGGCTTTGCCAGGCTGGCCACCAGGCTGCTTCCTCATGGCCAAGCCAAGTCACAGGTGGTAGTGCCACTTGAGGCCTGGCGAGATTCCAAGAATTCTGGGGACTCCCAACACTGTGGCCACGAGCCGAAGAGTGGATTTCCCGAGAAAGAAGCTTGCCCACCAGTGACTTGAGTGGGCCTTGAGGAGACTGGGGTGGTGTGGAATGGCTTCCCCTTTGTACTCGAAGTTCAGTGGATTCCTTGAATAAATGTTTCTCAGGTTCCTGTATGCCTTTGATTTCTAGAGTCCTCTCAAATGGTTGTATTTTACAGTTTTGTTCGGTTTTATTGTTGGTTTTTAGAAGAAAGAGTTTTCTGAGTTCCTTATTTCACCATTCCAGAGGTCTGGTTGGCAGTTTTGACTTTGATTTCCTCTTTAAGACATACAAAGAAGTATTTACAAATTTCAAATACATAATAACCCTGGCTGCACATTGTGATCCATTGGGAAGCTTTTATAAATTTTTTTGTTTATTTTTTACATTTTGCTTTTATTTCTTTTTTAAAGATTTTATTTATTAGTGAGAGAGAGAGAGCACGAGTAGGGGGGAGAGGCAGAGGCAGAGAGAGTATACTCACCACTGAGCAGGGAGCCTGACGCAGGGTTCGATCCCAGGACCCTGGGATCATGAGCTGAGCCAAAGGCAGATGCTTAACCGACTGAGCCACCCAGGCACCCCCATTTTACTTTTCCTTATGAACAGTTGCAAACATAAGAAATAGAGCATATGTTACCTAGTTGTGACCAGTCTTGTCTCATTTATATTCTGACTTTGCCCTCCCCCTGCCCATTATTTTGAAGCAGACATGATATACATCATATCCTTTTGCCCACCAAGATTTCAGCATGTAGTTCTAAAAGGGGAAGATCTCTTTTTAAACATAACCACAATACAGTTATTACAGCTAAAACAATGAGTAGTAATTCCTGAGTATCATCAAGTAGACTTGGGGAACTTTGAAAAATAAGCTGCCCAGTCCGGTGAGCTCAGACTTGGGGCAGTGGGGGGAGTCCAGGCATCGGAGTAGATTAAACTCTCCAGGAAATTGTGACATGCAGCAAAAGTTGAGAACCATTCTGTTAGATTTCTCTGTCCCTTTCCAAAATTGTCCTTTCCAGTTTAAATGCATTAGAGTCAGTATTGTGATAGAAAAAATTCTCTTTTAAGGGGAATTGGAGGTTTTTTTTTTTTTTTTTTTTTCTTTTTCCTAACATAGAATCAGTTTTGATGAGGGGCGCCTGGGTGGCTCAGTCCTTAAGCGTCTGCCTTCAGCTCAGGTCATGATCCCAAGGGTTCTGGGATCGAGCCCCGCATCAGGCTCCCTGCACCGCGGGAAGCCTGCTTCTCCCTCTCCCACTCCCCCTGCTTGTATTCCCTCTCTCACCGTGTCTCTCTCTATCAAATTAAATAAATAAAATCTTTAAAAAAAAATCAGTTTTGATGAACATACATTGGATATTTTATAAAGACTAAATCTCATCTACATTCTGGTTAAAAGAGCTTTATATAAACCTTTAAAACCAAGTTGCTGGTTTGTGTTACTTGAATTTCTCTAGCCTTATTTTTGGCCAACTTTATCTGTTACTCTCCTAAAAGAAGTGTGTTCTCACAGTGATTATGATTTTGTCAGTTCTTATATTTCTGAATGTTTTAAACATTTAGATTCCTATTTCCTTCATAACTTTTTGCCATTTAAAATGAAGGAAAACCGCAGCAGACTGTTCCCCCCCACACACACTTTTGCATTTTTCCAAACCTTAGTTGCACTTGGAATGTTTTCTGATGTTGGTGTCATCCACTGTGTTGGGTGACATCAAATGCCATTTCAGCCTTTCTATCATAGGCCCCCGTCTGTGCAGGATTCAAGTTACGGACCCAGCCTTCAGCTCTGTCTTCAGGATGTCAGGATGTTGTCAGCTCCTGCCCACCTCCAAAGCACCTGCTGCATTTCTGATGGTTGTGTTTGGTAAGCACTTTGAGGAAATGTGCACATTAGGAGCAGCAGGCTGTGATTTAGCACATGAGTTCCTGTGGCCCGGGCGTGTGCTGGGCTAGTTCCCCACCCACTCTGTTAGTACCATTTGGTCTAGACACAGAGTCCCCCCACTCCCCTGCTGTGTGATACATGGCTCACTGTTTTTCCCAAAAGAAGTGCTAATAATTCATTTTCAGTTCCTCTTGGATTTTAATGCTATCCACAGCAGCCTTGGTCCAGAAACACTGATCTGTTTGAAGAAAAGTTCCTCGGGAGGGAGAATCAGCATTGCAGGGCGCTGGCAGGCTCTGCCTTCCCCGCTTCTCACGGTGGCCCTGGGCCTCCGAGCCAGATGCATATACCACCTGCTTGGGCTCAGCGAGGGATACCTTGCAGCGACTTGCTCATGATGGCAAGGACAGGTTTGGACAGAGCTCCCTTTGCTCAAGGGAGAGTCACGGGGCCTCGCTTCGTGGGGGCTGGTGGGATGTCATGTGACCAACGTGGAGTGGTGGGCGGTGGACTCCTGATCTGGGATTCAGGAGCATTCCTGTGTCTTCTGGATGGCTTCTGCCACGGGCCTACCTCCCTCTGCGTTGCCCATCAGGGGCCAGCTCTGTTCTCCAGTCAGCTGCAGGAGGAAGAGGCTGGATCATGTCAGGCCAGCCATCTGGGGTAGGGAGGTTATTTTGATTGGCTTCCACTCTCCTCTCT